CATTGAAAATGGTTGTATTAAAACGTTAATCCTAAACAGTCAGATACCATAACTCAGTATTTCACTAACTACCACTATGAATTATATTGTAATTATTTTAGACATTTCATAGAGGTGTTTTTCAAAATGTCATTCTTTTCTAACAGGATCAAAGTATCGTGGGTATTGCGGTTATTGTGTTAATTGTGTAAACTATGTGTAAATGCTGGAGTGTTGTGTACACCGTGAGGTACATGCATAAGGAATTACATTATGGGGGAAAAAGCAATGAAATGATTACACATGGTTTGCATATCTCAAATAATATACTCCAGTATTTTTTACTTGGGAGTAGAATTCCACCTATGTCTAGATTTACTCTATTTTCTTAACACTTCACAGCATGCAGAATTGAGCAAATTGTTGGCAAATTGAGATTTATCTTTCAAGGTACTTTTTCTGTTGCACTTTTTTTTAAAAAAACTAGAGAAAATTAGTTTTAGAATTAAAGAATTTGTCAAATTCTGGACATTCTAAAATGTTGAAACTGAATCTAAACCCAGGAGGAATTTCTATTCCACAACTCCCCACATTAGATTTCACTGATGCCATAAAGCCACATTAACTGAATATGCCTCTATGCTGTTCTCGCGCAGTGCATACAATATTCTCACGAGCCTATATTGTGAAGGAATGTATCCTGGATTCATGTTCTAGGCTCAGATTATGTCCCCTTGTTCTTTACTTCTGTACAAGAAGGAAATCTCATTGTCTGTCTTGTCAATTCCCTTTGTCAGGCTTTGACAGCATCACCATCCATGGTTGTACACTCCACCTTGCTAAGACAGTCCGGAACCTTGGAGTCTTGTTTGACCCTCAACTATGCTTTCTACTCCACATCTGTGACATGACCCGCTCTGCCTTCCCCCACCATTGCAACGTTGCCCAGCTCCGCCACTGTCTCACACCGCAGGCCGCCAAAACCCTCATACATGCTTTCATTACCTTGAGGCTCGACTATGCAAACTCATTGCTTGTCGGCCTCCCCTCCACAAACTGCAGATCATCCAGAACTCTGCCGCCCATGTCCTCTCCTGCACTAGGCTCCATGACCCTATCACCCCCATCCTTGCCCAACTCCACTGGCATCCAATAACACAGAGGATACAGTTCAAGATCCTGGTCCTCACCTTCAAAGCCTTCCACAGTCTTGCTCCCCCCTACCTCTCCGACCTCCTAACCCCCTACTATCCTGCTTGCTCCCTCTGCTCAGTGGGCTCCGGCCTGCTTCATGTCCCCCATCTCGCTCGCCCCACTATTGGCGGGCGGGCCTTCCGCCACTCTGTCCCCACCCTCTGGAGCTCCATCTTGCAGACCCTCCACCTCATCCCCTCCCTTGCCACCTTCAAGACCCATCTCAAGACCCTCCACTTCAACCGTACTTTTGATCTCCCTGCTTCCCCCCAGCCCTCCACCCTCCCCGACCCCAATCGCCAACTCGGGTCCATAACTCTGTCTGTCCAGCACCTTGGGACGTCCTCCCAATGTGAAAGGTGCTTTACAAATGTCATTTTGTTGTTGTTGTTGTCAGACAGTTGAATCAGACCATCACTTAAATTCCTTAGCTCTAGGGAGCATAACACAACTTTATTCAGTTTCTCATCAGACCTAACCTCTTCATTCCAAGTATCGATCTGGTGTACTTTTAGTGAATTTCCTCTGAGGCTAGTATATTCTGCCCAAAGTGGGGGCCCAAGCTAACGTACATACCTTGAATTAAGTTGGACCAGTACTCTGTATAACTACTCTATTTTTTTCCTTTTATATTCAATACTTATAAATACCCACTTGAACTTTACACTGCATGCTTTGACTGTAGAAATTGATTATTGTATGCGTTGAAATGATTAACTGACTCCAGAACAAACCAAGGATCAATGCAGATAAACTATGATCTCTTTTTATCAATCCCAATTCATATGAACAATACATTAGCTTGATTCTGGCAAGGACTATTCAAATAAATGGCGCTGGCATTTCTCATTGTATACTTTTCAGACAAGCCACCCTTTAAGAAGAACCTTTTGGCTATTTCAACTGTTAAAAAAGAAAATCATTAAGTTATCAATACACTTGATTACTTTGTACCAAGCTATACACTTGATGTGCATGCTGACTTCAGGCTTTACAAGGATGTTACCAAGGATAAGCAAATGCAGCTGTCAAGCAAGAATGGACAGGTCAGAGCTTTTTGCTCTTGAGATGAGACAGTTGATTGCGACCTGATAGAAGGTTTCAGAATTCTGAAAGGATTTAATCAAGTGGACATTAATAGGTTGTTTCTACTTGTTAATGAGTCCAAAAGAAAGGGATCATAAATATAAGATAGCCCAGCAGATCTAAAGAAGAGTGTAGAATGAATTTTTTTACACAAAGGGTGATGAGAATGTCGAATTTATTGCCACAAGCTGGAGTTGAAGTAAATAGCATCAATTTATTTAAGAGGAAACTCGACACATACATGAGAAGGGAATGGATGGGTGTCATATCTATGTTAGTGTAACCCACCATATAAGAGTCTTGACATTGAGTATTTATTTGAAGGAAGCAAAAACTCATAGTTCAGCTCATGTCTGCCATTACTTTCTAGCAGGGGTCAGTTGTGGAAACTGATTTTTTTTCCCTTCCTAATAATAATCCTTGCATTTGATATAGCGCTTTTCACGTCGGGAGGACGTCCCAAAGCGCTTCACAGAACACACTGTAAAGTGAATTGACTGTATATTTGTGGACGAACGCGGCAGCCAATTGCGCACAGCAGTGTCCCACAAACAGTCGTAGGTTGAAAATGACCAATTTATTATTGTTTTTGGTTTTGGAGGGATTATTATTAGGCTCTGTGTGGAGTAAGGAAACTTGCCCAAGGTTTCGCCCTCTGCCTGGAATTGAACTCAGGTCTCTCACTTGTAAAGTGAGTGTTCTAACCACTGAGCTACAGGAACTCCAAAGCATTGAGATCATTTGTAGTTAAGATGAATTAACTCGCCCAGCGATTCAATCTGGGACACTTTCTGGCCCGAAGTCCTCAATTCTACACTAGACAGTATTTTTACAATCTTTTCTCGGGTAATGATAATAATATTTGTTTCTAATCTACACCCAGATGGAATTTCTCCTTACACTCATCTGCTCATCACCCATAACCTCCCTATTTTTGATTGATCTCCTAGCCCCCAGTAGATCACTTTCAAGGTATTTGTTCTGACCTCCAAATTCCTCTTTGCCTCTTCATATCTCTGTGATAACAATAATAATAATGATCTCTTCTCTGTAAACTGTTGAGCATCCATCTACCCCTCAACCCTACTATTGGTGACTGTAACTTCAGCTGCTGTGCCTCTGCTTTCTGGAACCCCCAATGAAAATCCCTTCACTTTGCACTATGCTCCGATACTGTTAAGCACTCCAAAATAATAATAATCCTTGAACTTGATATTGCAGCTTATCACGTTTTAGGCAACCAATTGCACACAGCAGTGTCCCACAATCGTGGATTGAGTGACCAAATTATTATTATTATTTTTATTATTATTATTTTTTGAAGGGATTATTACCCTCAGAAAAGCGATCGGCCAATCGACTAACAAGCGGGTTCCTACTTACTGCTAGGAGTAAGGAAACACGCCCAATGTTTCACCCTGCCAGGAATCAAACCCAGAGCCTCTTGCTTGTGAGGCGAGTGCTCTAAATACTAAGCTACAGGACTCCAAGATACTACCCATGTGAAGGGTGCTATATAAATGCAAGTTGTTATTGTTGCTTTATTAACCTTTCTAAAATCTTACCTTTTCGAGGGGGCTTTGGTCACCTCCCTCCTACTCCCTATTTTCTACCTTCCTTTCATTTGCAGTACTTTGAGACATCTTCCTATGTGAAAGGCATTATATAAGTGCAAGTTGTTGTTCTTAAAACAGTCACCAAGCTTGAGCTTCACATGTTTGCATGTGTCAGAAGTGATATCACAACAACAACAACAACTTGCACTTATATAGCGCCTTCCACACCAGGGAGGGCACACTGAAACCATACTGAAATCATCCTACGTTACACCATTGGCAATCATAATTCATAGATGCTTGATTCTAAAACCCTAATTTTACTTCTGAGCCAGTGTTTCGAATTCAGTCCAGATGCGTGAAATAACAGTTTTATGTCATAGGCAGCTGTTAATTGTTTTTAATGAAATGAATTTGAGCACCCTTACTTCAATTCCTAAAATAAATCTGCATCTCAAAACCTCTCCTACATAAACTGGCTTTGACTGGTCCTGGTTCAACAGTCTTACTCAGTGATACCATAAAAGTGGTTGATGTGATAAATGGAAATGTTGCAATAGCTTCTGCTTCTCAATTTTTGGCACGTTGTCAGGGTAATCTACGGGGAGTATTGAATTGGACCGTAATCCATGCCATATATGACATGGGAGTGCATAATGTTGTCATTGAGTGAAAGGCAGACATTTTAATTCTCAATAACTGTCATCTGTCATCTTTGATGAGCAGAAAATACACACAAACACAGCAGGATCCTGGTTTAGTTTTTCAGAGACCGAGTTTCTTTTTTTAAAGTTTCTTTTAGTTGTGTATTTTTTTCTCATTCTTGAATATTAATTTGCATATGAAATATTTTTGTTGTTATCCTTTGGTCATGTAAAATACAAGATTTCAAATTCTAATGCTCTCAATATGCAAGTTTGCCTGCTGTATTGAATTCTTATGAAGAAAATTCAAGCTATCGCTTTCGGATGTTGAGTTGATTTCAAGCATCCTGTTTAGATTCCAGTTTTACAGCATCTAGAGCTTCCTTTCTTCTTTTGAGTCATAGTGTTGTATGTCCCACTGAGGCACCTAATAAAACTGAATGAATAAATTAGAAACCTGTGTGAACAGCATATTTAACTGACACTCATCTCTTCAGTGTTATCCCATTCATGTTTCTCTTCTGATTTTGTTTTTGAACAGATATGCGTGTTGGAGAGACAAATCTTTGATTTCCTTGGATACCAATGGGCACCTATCCTGGCCAATTTTTTGCACATTGTTACAGTCATTCTCGGCCTGTTTGGGACCATCCAGGTCAGACAGCGATATGTGACTGGGGTGAGTAGAACATTTTTAAAACCTAAATAATGAGTCGAATGATGGAGATGTAAAGAAGACGACCAAAATAAAAAGAACTATCTTTTTTTTGAAAAGAGAACTCAACTGGAAAATTAAACCAGAAAATCACAAATTACTTTGTTCTTATTTTGGCTTTGAGTTAATCATTTGGATCCTATTAAGTAATAACAGAATTTACCACACCTTTTGGCTTGATATATAGATTAAAAGATTGTTTACCTTTAGAGATTGATTACTTCATTGTTTTCTGTAGCTATGAACCATTATGTTTACATTTTTAGTCTAAAGCTAACAATAAACATTTACATGATGCAGGGTGTAATTTCATGAATATATCATTTAGAACAGTCATAGGCTGAGATTAAAATCACACATTTGATAATGTTAAAAAGAAATGAAAATGTTGCAATTCACATGACAGTGTTTAGCACTGTCTCCTGGCTGATACTGGGAGTTTGTCCTCCCGACACTACCACTATCTTCTTTCTGGTAGCAGTAAATAAAAACCTACTGTCCACGGACTTCTCATTTGCACTCTAGACAGAGGGCACAGAAGCTTCAAAAGGAAAGAAATGATTGACAAGCTGATTCTGACCTACAGCCCAATTACTCTCTTGTATTGGTCACTGTTGCTCCTCCAGCAGCAAAACAGCTTTGTTGTATCCTTAGCAGAGAAGAATTAAAATTCTCCCAAGTGCCTTGTATCATCAAGAAAGCAATGAAATGTTGACTTGAGTGACACAAGACAATTGAATGATTCTGGATCATTGATTAGTTATTTGTTTATGTTTTAGTGTTGTTAAAAGCCTGTATTTTTTTTCCTGAGTTTTTTAAAATCTTTTTTGTGAGCTGCTTGGGCAATGCACCATTTCTGAGTGGCCACCCTCTGTTTGTCACCTGTGACCATAAGGCAGCCATTAGGCAGTGAGTAAAAATAACCTAATGATGATTACTTCCTGGTACATGCAAGCACCAAGCTTTGTTCTAATGAAAATGATCTGGAACTCAATGTTCTGGAGGGATCGCCAGAGAGAACTAATATCCTACAACTCTACACTATCATAAATTGGTGCCCCAAGCCACTGCTCTACACTTAGATTCTGATAACAATACAAACTTTTGCAAACATTTATCAGCTTTACATATATTTTGTCCAACTAGAGCAGCTATTACACTTCATCTGCAAATTGCAGCGACATAATTGCAGTACATAAGGATTGCCATGTGGAGATTTTCACATTTGCATAATATAATTTTGCCCGCTAGTGAGTAAGGAAAATTGATTAACTATTTAGCACGGATGCGGTTGACATCAATGACACCTACCTAGAATGAACATTTGGCAAAACTGTGTGCTGGTGAAAGAAATCTCTTTACAGTGAATTGCAACCAGTCAATGAATTACCACCTCCATCATTTTTCCCGTCTCCGACCATACCCACAGCCAATGCAGCCGAAACACGGGTCCACGCTTTTGTCACTTCCCGCCTCGACTATTTTATTGCCCTTCTTGCAGATCTTCTCAGGTGCACTATCTTCAAAATTCCTACTAATACAGAACTCTACCAACTATATACGCACCTGCTCTAAATTCTGTACCCCCATCAACCCAGGCCTTGCCAGTCTTCACTGGCTCCATATCACAGAATGGATAACCCTGATCCTCATGTTCGTCTACAACTCCCTTCATACCCTAGTGCCTTCCTACCTCTCTGACCTGCTTGACTCGGCGCTCCACTCCCGCCACCTCTACTCGGCTGGCCATGGCCTCCTACTTGTCCCTAGCCTCTTCCGCTACAACATCGGCAGCTGTGCTTTCAGCCACTACATCCCGAAACTTTAGAACTCTCCCTCAATTCCTTTGCCTTACCCTTTCCTTCCCCTTTTTCAGATCATATCTAATGATCTTCCTCTCCGACCTTGCTTACAGTCACCTCCTCTCTCCCCAGCTTCGTTAGGCTCCACTACTGTTAAGCATTCTGAGACAATACCCTGTGTGAAGGATGCTATATAGATGCAAGTTGTTGTTACAGACTTCTGCCCCATGAAATTCATTTGTTAATAATTTTTCAGGAATTTTGTTATTTCATTTTATTCATTACAATGTTTTATTTCTTTGTATTACATTTACATTAATAATACCTCCAATAACCATATACAAATAAAAACACAGTATAAATCCCAGTTTATCCCTAACTGTTACTAATTGGTTTATGCTTGGGTAAAATGAAATCTGATTCATCTATTCTGTACACAAGGCAGCAATGATTGATTGGTTTGTTAGCAAGTGGATAATAATATGCGTTCACTGCCAAAGATCCTTAAATTTTTAAGGAGAGAAATGTTCTGGTGTGTATTTCACCAGATAACCTTTGAATAACAACAACTTGATATACAGTAGTGTTCTTCATGCAGAATAGTGTCTCACGCAGCATAGCGACTCAGAACAAGAACACAAAAGACTTATCATGTTTTAAATATTGTAATAAATGACAATGTCATTGTACTAATCAGCCTTTAGATGAAAATGATTTCAGCCATTAAAATCCTATGCTTGTTAGGTCAGGGTATTAAGGGATATGGGGCAGGTAATTGGAGTTGAGGTACAGATCAGCCATGATCTTATAGACTGGCAGAACAGGCTCAAGGGCTGAATGGCCTATTCTTGTTTCTATGTTGCTAAGTTTCTCTCCATGTTTATCTGTGTAGTTGACCTTTCTCATTTTTAGTAAAAAAAATTTAATCCTAAAGGAATCACAAAATATTTTTAAAACTTGTAGTCAGCTGAATGGGTTGAAAGTTATCCAATTGTCTTCCGACACACAAGAAGAAAATTTATGGAGAATTACATTTTCCTTAATAATTTTAGTTGAAAGATCCATAGTCACTCATACTTATAATTAAAGTCATCACACTTCACAGAAAAACACTCAAAGTATTTTGTTGTGATAAGACATTAGTATATCCTGGATATACTCCTGGACGAGAGACAACTTTCTTCAGCTCAACGTGCGTAAAACTGAGGCCCTCCTGATTGGCTCACGTCAGCTCCTCCGCACCTCAGGCGCTGACAGCATCAGCATCCAAGGCTGCACTCTCCACCTCTCAAAGCCAGTCTGGAACCTCGGGGTTCTGTTCGACCCTGAGCTGTCCTTTCTCCCTCATATCCGCGCCACAACTGGCACTGCCTTCCATCACCTCCGGAATATCGCCAGACAACAGCACTACCTCACCCCTCACGCTGCTGAAACTCTGGTCCACGCCTTTATCACCTCAAGGCTGGACTATGGGAACCCTCTCCTCGCCGGCCTTCCCGGCACCTCCCTCCACAAGCTGCAGGTCATTCAGAACTCTGCAGCTCGTGTACTGTCCCGCACCAGGCTTCGCGACCACATCATTCCCACCCTCGCTCACCTCCACTGGCTCCCCATCCCCCAGAGGATCGAATTCAAGATCCATTCACGGCCTTGCTCCCTCCTACCTCTCTGACCTACTATCCCCCTACCTACCTGCCCGTACCTTCCGTTCCTCTGGCTCCGGTCTGCTCCACATCCCCCACCCCAACCGCCCTACCATCGGTGGCCGGGCCTTCAGCCTCTCAGCCCCTAGGCTCTGGAACTCTATCCCCCAGTGCCTTCGCCGCCTCCTCCCTTTCCTCCTTCAAGGCCGGTCTCAAGACCTTTCTCTTTGACCGTGCCTTCAGCTCCCCTCTCGACTCTCTAACCCCTCCTCGCTCCCTCCCTTCCCTCCCCTCACCCTGACCATTTCCCCCTTGCCCAGGTCCTGACCCAACTGTACAGCGCCTTGGGACGTCCTCCCGACGTGAAAGGTACTCTATAAATGGAATCTTGTTGTTGTTGTATATCAAAAACAAGAATTAAGTTTTTGAAATTATTTAAGTACAGTCTCTCTTGAATCCTCTTCTTTTCATATCTTTTTTAGCCAGTTTTAGCAAATTCCTCTTCTGTTTTAAAGTAGTCTTCCTTTTTCCTTTTAATCATTGTAATAAGCTTTCATCTCATTTATACTTGTATCATTTGATGTATTTAAACCTTTTGGAAAATATTTAGCTGAAACATTTTTTCCTCAATTTTCTTCATCTTTCAGTTTTTTCACAATTAATGTATTTTAATTATTTTTAAAAAATCTTATAAGCTTCATTCACATAAATATGTAGTGAGAGGTTATCACCAATCTTGAAATGTTGAATATTTCTGTCTGACTGTATTAACTATGGCTGATGAATTAAAATAAATTGTAGTCTAGTCCAAAGGTAATAATTATATTTGCCCATTTGCACAAGTTACTTCATTTTCTGATTCAATAAGGAGCTAACAAGTGGAACTTAGTAGTACAATGAATCAGTCTGAAATCCGTGCTTGTATTTTAACTCTGGGAATTAGATTGCATAGGACAGGTGTAACAGAATGCTGTTGGGCTTCCCAAACAAGAATCTTGTGCCTAAAATTACAAGTTGAACCCTAAACTTAGAAAACTACATTTAGTTTGGATTCCATTCCATAGACTGCAAATTCAGGAAGTTTAGAACTGGCAAGGCAGTAAGATTAGGTGCTGATCTTCATTTGGAGTCCTGTAGCTCAGTGGTTAGAGCACTTGACTTGCAAGCGAGACACCTGGGTTCAATTCCAGGCAGGGCAAAACCTTGGGCAAGTTTCCTTACTCCACACGCCTAATAATAATCCCTCCAAAACAAAACAATGATAAGTTGGTAATTTTCAATCCACGACTGTTTGTGGGACACTGCTGTGTGCAATTGGCTGCCACGTTTCGCCCACAAATATACAGTCAATTCACTTTACAGCATATTCTATGAAGCACTTTGAGACGTCTAGAAGACGTGAAAAGCACTATATCAAAAGCAAGGATTATTATTATTATTATTACTACATGTTATGGATGATTTTTGTTGCAGGATATACTCTGAAAAACACTAAGTTTCAATGGCTCCAAATAATGGA